CACTCAGCCCTGGAACAGGGCTCAGGAGCTGCTGTACAGGGGCAGCTCAGGCCTGCTGACGGCAGGCGCAGCCCCTCCGGTGCGACAGGTGAGGGCTCTGGGCCGTCGGCTGTGGGTCTGCAGTCCTGCTCTGCCTCTTAGAGCCACGACCTTGGGAGGTGATGGGAGCCCCCAGCGCGGCCTCCCTTTTCCCGGTGGTAAATGGGTCCATAACTGCGTCTTAGCCAGTACCTGTGTAAGGCAGGGGTCGGCCTCGTGTTGCAAATAAAGTGTGGTCAGCACACGTCCGCACCGTCCCTAGTGTCCGAGCTGGCAGCCTCTGGCTGTCGTGGCAAAATCGAGAGGTTGGGGACCCTATGCAGCCACTGAGTTTCGAATCTCTCTGTCTGGCCCTAGACTTATGAAGGCAGTCTGGTGTAGGAGAGGGCACGCACGTTCTTGTGGGCACCGAGGCCAAGTCCCTGGGCCGAAGCAAACGTGGAGAGGGAGCTGGGAGACAAGCTGCGAGTTCGCTGCGGTTGCTGTTTGTATCAGGGTGGAATTACCAGAACGCTTGTTGTGAGCTGCTCCTGGTGGGCCAGGGACTTGGACTGGGCCTCCTTGCTCAGTTCCAGTCACAGGGCACCTCGCAGGGAGGGCCAGGCACAGGACAGTTGGGGGGGCAGGTGGGTGTGGCCCGCGCCTTCCTTTCCCAGGGATCCCTTGTCAGGTTTGCTGCTGTGTGCACGTGCGCCTGGTTACCCCCCTTCCTGCACTCCACCAGAGTGAGCTTCCACACAGGGACTGCGTGTGCTGGGCTGCACGCCAGGCCAGCAATAGCAGTTACAAAAACAAAAATAACAATAAGGAGGGAGAGGCAGTGGCTACCTTCATGCGCTCGCCCTGTGCCAGGCACGGTGCTGGCTTCATCCTCAGAACGGCTCTGGGAGGCTGGGCTGCTCCGGGCCCATTCGACAGCCGAGGAGACTGAGACAAGTGAGGTTGAGGTCACGTGAGCTGTCAGTGGCACAGCCGGGCTTTGACCTCGGGCAGGCTGGCTCCAGAGTCCCTGCTCAATAAATATTTGTCGAACATGGGAGGGAGGGACTTGGCCATTGGTACTGGCGGTGGCGCCCTCCCGGCCCCTTATCTTGTTCCTGGAGGCACAGACTCCTCCGCTATCCACACACCCCACCCGGCCCATGCTGAACTTTCAGTCCCCCCAGCCTCCACTGGGATTCGCGGTCCACTCCTGCAAGGATGCTTCAGCCCCCCAGAGAGGAGACCAAGCCCAGAGAGGGCTGGGGCTCGGCCGCAGTGCACAGCCTGCCAACAGTGCTCCTCCGGAGAGCCTGGTCGTTTTCCCTGCGAGTGGCTGATAGCTGGTCAGGCCTGGGCCTCGCCTTGGAGCAGTCTCAGAGCGATTGCTGAGAGCTGGGGTACCTAGAGAGGGGGGGCGAGGCCAGGCGGCCTGGGACAGCCACCTCGATCTCATCTCTGCGCCCACCGCCTGCCTCCAGAAGTCCCAGTGAGAGGCTGGGCCCGCCTGGGTGGGGTGGGGGAGGCCAGGCCAGACCCTGGACCTCCGCTGCAGGCCAGGAGGGGTGCTGCACTGCCAGCTGTGGCTGCTGAGCTGGTGCCCAGCTCCGGCCTGGCCTGGGAGGCTGGCGGGTCAGAAGAAACCCAGGGCTTGGGCGGGCTCCGGAACCACCCGAGACCTGCTGGGGGCAGCTGGGGCCGAGGCCGAGTGGGATGAAAGGACGATGGGGCTTTGAGTTGTGATCGAGAGAGCTCCTTATTTACAGCTCGCAACGCAGCAGGGACCCGCGTTTGGGTCCCATGTAGCACTTTCCAGGCAGTCACTAATTAATCTTCCGTCCCCCTGAGGAAAGGCCGCCACATCCCCATCTGTCGCTGGGAAGGCCGGGGCCTTTTGTCCCAGCAGCCCAGCCCTCCTCGGAGGCCTGCTCAGTCCCTTGTCATGGGCCCTGTTCTCACTCGTGTTGTTCTCGCACCCCAGGTGGGCATCTGGCAGGGCCCACTGGCCCCTCTCTGCCTCTTAGACTCTGACTCTGGAGTCAGAGAGGTCTCTCCACTCCAGGAGCAAACGCTCACCCTGTTCCCTGGGTTCTGCCTGCTGGTGGGGCAGTAAGAAGAGCTGCTGGCCGTCACCCCTCCCGCACCCGCAGGGGCTGTGTCG